TATTCAATACATATTAATGCTTGCCCATGTGTTCCTAATTTTGCATTAATTTTGTCAAAAAATGATATCATTTTCAGTGCTTCCAAATTATGACATCACTAAAAAAACTTTGTACTCCGTAGGAGTAATATTTCGAGGTGCCAGAAGAGGATTCAATTTGTTCCTACAGACAATTTTGACAAGTTCGGTTTAATTACTTTATACGTCAGTAGCAAGAAAGGAACTGTTCAGTAGGGTTTCTTTATTATCTTCAATAGAAGTGCCAAGAAGTGCTCTGTGTCTTTATCCTATTTATAGCGTTGCCTATGATTGCTACTCCCGAAGGTGTGATTGTCCTGTTTCATAAAAGTTTGTTCAGCTGCCAGCAAGAAGATGTAAGCAAATTGTAATACCATTGCTATGAGGTATAACACTCCCTCAGCTCATATCCAGACCCTTGTATAATAAATTCATGTAAACATTCGATTTCCTGCAAAGGATTGTGATTTAAAAGTTGCTCAGGATGAGTTGTAAGTTTTTTTTTTAAAGTAATTGTAAAGATACATTCTGAGCATCATAATCACAACAGTGTACAATAGTGGTTGTGGTTTTCCCTGGCGTCATCCCAGTGTAAGCTGTCAAAATTTCAAAGTGTTGCAGTAGTTTTGGTGATTTAACTATCCATTTGGGTTTTGATTTTTTGTTCTCAAAATGGAAGTACTATCCTTGGGTATCCGTTTTACTGATATGAATGTTCTAGTTCATCCAAAACTGAATTGTACATGTTTCAGTAAATTAAAATAAATGAAGATATCTAAAATTCTGCAAAACACATTTTAAGCAATGAATGGACAATTTGGCAACATATTCTTTACTTTATGTCGGACAGAACCTGGCAAAATAAAATTACTAGAACACCCAATTAGCTTGAGTAAGACAGCTCCCCAACAGGACAATGGCCTGTTCTCATTAATAACCTGATTCTATGAGTTAGTTTGCTGCACAGGGAATCTTTGGTTTTCATCAAAAACAATTCAAAAGAATGTCTTCTTAAAAGGTTATATAGCATAGGCAGCAAAGGCAAGCTATGTTGAGATAGTTTTAACGCTGGTAACTAAATAGCAATTTTCCAATTTGAAAAGATCAGGGGAATTGTTATAATTTCTTGAAGATAGGTTTTTCCTAATGATAAAATCCAACGCTACGAATTTTTTCTTCTGGACAAATTGGTGCATTGGAAAAAAGTGGGGGGGGGAGGGGGACAAGAACAATTATAAACTACAAATGAAGCCTTTTATGTACAGGTCAAATGTTACCTTTCTAAACATATTTACTCTAAATACCCAGTGTTGTACTTAAAACCCATAACTGGGAAATTATCAGCCATCAATATAATTATCACCCATCCCAATGCATGCTAAAACACCCACTGGACATTTTTCTTTCTTTTGTAGTAAAAATCGTGTTGCTCCAAGCTTCCTAAGAAGTGAGAGGAGGAAGGCTAAGAAATAGGAGCATCTCAGAGGCAAGAACATTCCTTGGATGCTCTGCCTAGACTGTAGCTTGATGGCATTAAAAGCTAACCATCTGCAATGCAATCCTCATGCAAGTCTTACTTGTGAGTGGATTTGCCCAATGACATTTTGACACTAATTGTATTGGTACAATTGATGTCAGTATTGGCCCTTCACTATAGCAGTAGGAATACTGAAATGGGGAATTATTTAATGAATATGACTGTCTATGTGACCTCCTATCATCAGAAGGTAGGTTCTTCTAATTTTCTCATCCTATGTACATGTAATGGTACTTACCCAATCCTCGTGCTGGCCGGAGTCCTCCGCTCGAGCCACTCTTGCCTCCAGGCGAGCCGCACAGTGAATGGTCTGATCGGGCACGCGGACTGTGCAGTATTAAGAATGCTGCCGGCATCCTGAGCAAGTTCTTCAAGGGGAAATGGTATCCTAGCCTTGCGGTCATCTCCCATTGGCCCACATCATTCTGGCGCCCCCATTCATGCATGTTTTGGGGCGCAGGCATGACGTGGACCAATCAAATGAAACAAAGGATTATTTAAACTTACCAGGCCCTAGACACTGTGCCCTATTGTGGTTTCTGTTCCCAGTACCCTTTAGTGTGTTCCTTGACTTATTGTATTGTATTCTGGTATTGACGTTGGCTTTGTTTACAGACTCTAAGTTTCTCTTTAACCCTTGTCTGTCTTGTTCGCCAATCTGCTTTACCGTGTACCTGACTTTAGCTAGTTTTCATTTTCAGAACTCTTTTTACATTTTTTTAGATCTGCACAAATTCATGAGAAACCTCACTCTAAAAGTTTTTTTTGTTTTTTTTTAAGAATAATCCAATACCCCCCATCTGGAATAATCACCAATCAATTCCAACATAAAGAGCCTTAAAAAATAAGTCTACCTTCTGCCCTAATAACCAGATGAGTGCACCTATGAATGCATTCAGTTTAGCTGTAATGCAGATATAGACAAAATACAAGAGAAAATACCTAGAAAAAAATACAACCTGACAATACAAGAAAAGAAGGCACTACAAAGTTTACAGGATAATAAACATATTACGATCAAATCTGCTGATAAGGGGGTGGCATAGTCTTAATTAACACTACAGACTATGATACGATAAAGAATGTAACCGAATGTTAAGTGATAAAAAAACATACAAATCTCTAAACAAGGATCCCACTATAGAAACCAAGAAATTACTTTTTTCCTTATTAGATAAAGGAAAATTTATTGGAATTTTAACTAAAAAATTATTTGATTTTGTCACTGTGTTATATCACAAAAAAACAGTGCTTCATTATCTTCCCAAGATCCACAAAAGCCTTACGCAGACTTACGGAGACCCATTATTTTGGGGATTGACTCCCTAATGTCTAATCTCTCTCAATATATTGATTTATTACTTTGACCATCTGTGAAATTAACCAGATTGTATCTTAAAGACAGCAATGACCTTCTAAGAATAGTTTAAGGTATGAAAGGAAAATTTCTGGTTAGTTACCTGTGATGTGACCTCTCTTTATACAGTTATAAAACATGACTTAGGTATTAAAGAAAGGAGACATATTTTATATAACACATCAGATATGCAGATGGAAAAATAGAATTTTTAATGGAATGCATTGATTTTATACTAACGAACAACTTTTTTGGGTATAAAGATGAGATTTTTTTTTACAAACAACAGGCACAGCGATGGGGACTAGGTTTGCATCCAGCTATGTCAATATTTTTATGTCCTATTGGGAAAAACTGTCCATATGGGAAGGACACCACTGGGTGGCAAACCTAGTCCTCTATAGGCGATTTATAGATGAGTTTTTTTATCTGGGAAGGGACAGAATCAGATCTCTTGGAATTTTTAGCCTATATTAATCATAATGATTTTAAGTTATCTTTTACCTATAATTACAGCAAAACCAGTGTAGACTTTTTAGATTTGATTTAATACTTAGAACAAGGGAATTTAAAGTCTAAAACATTTTTTTTTTTTAAAGCGTGGACATCAATAGTTTCATTTGGACGTCCAGCTGTCATTATCCATCATGGTTACTAAATGTTCCCTACGGACAATTCATGAGGATCAAGAAAAATTGTTCAGACAAGGAGGTCTGCAGGGAACAAATGGATAAAGTGAAATCTCAATTTATGGATAAATAATATAATCCATCTCTTTTATCTGAAGTTAAGGAAAGAGTGGCTAATATAGATAGAAAAAGTATTCTTGCTCCTATAGATACGGAAAAGACTTCCTCAGATTTCTCATGCCCTTTAGTTTTCAACTATAGTGCCCAATCCCATTGTATAAAAAATGCTGTTTTAGGCATTGGGACCTACTAAAGCAAGACCCAGTTTTATACTCAATTCTGCCACCCAAACCAAAAATCATCTTCAGTGAGGCACCCACATTAAAGGAGAAGTTGGTACACAGCTATATTAGATCCTCTCCAGAAAGAAATTTTTTAAACTCCCACATAGGGTTTTACAAATGTGGTACATGTAGTATGTGTAAGGTAGTGGGTCCTCCATTTGGGAAATTCACAGAGTTTCAATCCGTAGTTAGTAAAAAAAATTAAACTCAAAACAGATAATATATTTATTAGGTTGTCCCTGCGGGTTACAATACATAGGTCAAACTAAAAGAATGCTGAAGATCAGACTGAATGAGCATGTATATAATATCAAAAGACAATTTGCAAATCATACAGTGTCATATCACTTTACAACTCACAATGCAGGGGTGGAGCCGAGCAATCGAGCTGGCTAGTCGCACTTTACATGGGCTCCAGCTACATGAGCTTAAAAACGTTGATAAATCGAGATGCAGAGACACGACTGGCGAGTAACCAAGCCCACTGGACTGGCGCAATGCTTGAGCACAAAAAGACACCTATATCGATACCCGGCATGCCCGGGAAATGCTACAGCTGGCTTGGGCCTACTGGAGGAGTTGAGGGGGAAGGACGGCCGCCTTTCCGCCCGACTCTAGGGCAATCAAGCACACAGAAGCTGCTTCCCCCCCCCCATGGACCGTGGGGGATATCCCGGTCCCCACCAGAAGGGAGATCCCGCATGCCACACCAAGCATCGATTCCTGCAAGCCCCACAGGCAACGTGGTGGCGAGGGCCTCCAAGATGGCGGCGAAGACAGACTCAGACACTCGAGAACCACGACGAATAGACCTCACCTCAGACACCAGCACCCACACTAGTGACCCCATCGCTGCACTATTTGACCGCTTCTGGGCCAAGTGGATGAAGCGACTGCAAGCAGCGACGGTCTTTCCCGCACTGCCCTCATGGCGAGAGGAGACCGGGGCCTCCACCTCAGTGCACAAAGAAGAACCAACCTGCGACTCCCCACGATATGGGCTCTTCCGGGCTGGGAGAAACCAGGAGTAAGCCCCGTGAGCGCCGACCACACCGGCGGAGAGCTACCAAATGAAAACCCAAGCGAAGATGCACAGCTCACCGCCATATCCCGACATGGACGACCACGGGCCACATAGGATCCCAGGTCAGGTAAGAGGGCGTTACCTCCCACACAGTCTCGGGGCAGAGGGGAACACCCACCACCGCAATGCCATACGACGCCTGATATGTACCGACACCCGGATAGAGGGCGCAAGACGGGAGGGCCGGGGGACTACTGCAACCAATGAGAGCACACATGCAGGGCGCTGGGCCCACAATGAAAAGGGAGCAAAACTACTGCTCCAAAATGCCCCATTGATCAAGCTTACCTTCCAGGCAGAAAAGAGGCAGGGGCACGTAAACGAGACTGTAAAATACCTCAGGCAGGAGTTGGCTGATCGAGATACTTACCACCACAGATAAGAAATCCACCCCACACTCCCTACTGCCTATATCTGTGACTGATCATAATCCAGTGCTAATAATACAGACTGCAGCCAATGTAATATTTTACTTTACCAGCCCCCATCCTGGTGTACAAAGCGGGACTTGATTAATTAGTGTTCATACCGTTATTATTTGATATGCCATACTCACACGCTTTGCACTCCCGATTGTTACCTAAGGGCACCTATCACGCCCCACATGACACCTGACACTTGCCAACTGACCACCACTCTCTAACTCTCCTGCACTAATTTCTCTGAGCCAGCCACATATGCACCCTACAATCACACTGTTTCAACGCCCTCACACCTGTGGGTGAGGCTCTGTAGGTGAGCAACATAACATCACTCATTGAGACACATAACATACCCAAACTCACTATGAGGCTACCTGTTGACCAATATATAACAAAAAAAGTGCATGTTTACTCTATCACTTCAACTGTTAAGCTTGAAACGTTGCTAGAGGACTGCCGTTGGGGTACCTCGAGCCAAAATGTACTCATATTATGCACTGCAAAAAAAACAAAAACTCACAATGCAAGTAACCCAACCTCTTTAACCTATTGTGGAAACAACAAATTATGGTACCATGAAGGGACAGGGATTTAATTAAAAGTCTTCTTTACCGAGAAACTTATTGGATCTACATCTTAAAATCTCTGGCCCCATCAGGATTAAATTCAGAGTTTGAGATTACAAATACCCTATAATCGAAGTTGAAAGCTTTTCCAAACCTTCTTCATTTTTTAAAGGCACAACTTTTCATAGTAGGCAATTTTTGCTTTTTATGTACTTTTTCGTATTGTCTTATGATGTATTTTCTTTTAGTGTTCTTTCAGGGATTCTACATAATGATTTTAATCCTATTAACTAAGATTCTATGCTGCATCGATCTCTAGTAGACATGTGCAATTCGTTTCGGTCCGAATATAAATTCAGATGAATTTCGGCAATTCGGGCATTTGGATGCTTCCGAATGTCCGAACTGCCGAATTTCAGAAGTGCTGAATTTCAGAAGTGCCGAGCCGAATCGAATTGCCGAAGTCCCGAATTTCGGAAGTGCCGAAGTGCTTCGGATTTCTGAAAAGTGGCAAAACAGGAGAGGGAGGGGAAATTAAGGGAATGATGACAGGAATCTAACCCTAACCCTATCCCTACCCCTAACCCTAGCCCTTCCCCTAACCCTACCCCTACCCCTATCCCTAACCCCAACCCTAACCCCATTTTGGCCAATCAGGACCTTCTCATAGAGATGCATTGAATCAATGCAAAGGAAAATTCAGCATCTCCATGCAGAGCGTGGGGACGATGAACGGCAGGGCTGCTTACTGTGCAGCCCTGAGCCAGAAAGCCCATCCAGTGACCATCTAAGGACTAACCACTTGGAGGTGTCCCTAGGGGCAATGTAAACACTGCCTTTTCTCTGAAAAGGCAGTGTTTACATGAAAATGCCTAAAGGGAGCTATTATACTCACCAGAACAACTACATTAAACTGTAGTTGTTCTGGTGACAATAGTGTCCCTTTAATAAGAATCTTTATAATGAAAAAAATATACATACACATATTAAATATAATAATAAATGTTTTTAGACTCTTAACCTACTTAACCATATTTCTTGTTCTTGTTTAAACCAATAATGATTCACGGATTTATAAGTAATCTTTTTTGAGCACAATAATAAAACATTAAATCATACCTACTTGAACTACTCAAATTGTTCTAAAAGAAAATAATTTTATAGCTAATTATTTTGGCTCAATGTGTCACTTAATTTTGCACAGTGCATACATTGTTGGCGCTATAGATGGAAAATGCACACTAACACAAACACAATATTGGTATCTTCAAGCTTTAGTTTGAATAATAAATTAACATTTTATTCACTGTACTAAATTATTTGCTAGACACAAACGTAACTTTCATCTCCACAGGATAAAGCTGGGGTTTTCTTAGCACTAGGTTAAACAAGAATTAAAAAAAAAAAGTAAAGAATAAATATATAATCCCTGATAGTGTTATTTTAAACCTGTATTACCATTAAATCCATTAAGTGTTTATGCATTAAATTGGTAGTCACTTGTGAATTTTGTGAAAATTGTAGGATTTATGCTGAAAACTTTTCATAACAGAAACATATGTTTCTCCAAGTCTTGTATGGCCCCATTCATTATAATTTTTCCTGATGTTGTGCCTACCATATTATTAACTTCTCCTTAGCGATGAAATACCAGCTTGTCTTTTCACAGCAGAGAAATGAGGAGAATAATTATAAATGTGGAAATCCTAATAAAAACATACTTTTATTGATCGAGGCTGGTGCTCCGAATGGGGAATTGCTGGATTTATGATTACCATAAAAAGACAAACTTATGAAAAAAAAAGTTGCATTTTTAACTGGGCATCATACACGTTACATTTTTTTTCCTGCTGTAAGGGAAAACATACAAACTATGAATTTTGTATGAAACTAATTTTAAGTAGTTGCCATATATAATTTTTATTGACCTGAACTGCACTTTAGAGACCATAAGAGTTCATAAGTTAAACATTTAGTCTGTTGTTAAACTGTGATGTTTAGCCAAAAATGCATACCAAATTTAATAAAAGGGAACTGTACTTAAAGTTCAGGTTGCTTCCATATGAAAGAACATTGTGTGCCTTTTAGAAATGTATACGTAAAAGTTTTCATAAATTTCAAAACTGATTTGGTGTTTTGCAGTAGCCATTTACTCGCTTGACACTCGGTGAATTCGAGATACCAAATGCAGTTCATAGAAATTACCGGCATTAAAAACTAATGCACAACTCAATTCAAAACGAGAAATCTTAGGGAAATATTTGCATGTTTTGTTTATACTGATATATACTATTGGATTTAATAACATTATTGACCAAACTAAAAAATATCAATTTCTACGTAGTTCTTTTTAAATGAAACAAAATCATTGATCAGTGTTGTTTGGTGTTATTTTACAATTCAACGCCAAAAAGAAATGATTAATTTACTGATAAATAACAATCACTCATATGTAATCACTGCAAGTAATAATTTGCCGTAATAATCTCTATGATTAATTTATATGATTAATATATATTTTTTTTTTACCTTTTTTTTTTTTATCAGATATTTATTTTATTTATTCACAGCTTTAAGTACTTTTTAGACTGTCTGGACTGTCTGTTAAAATACAACCTAAAGTAACAACATAAATCAAACCTAAGTGTCACATCATCTACAGAATTTGTTTTAGTAGATGTTCTTACTACTACATGTGCACTTTGTTTTTTTTCTCCCAACAAGGACTCTGTCTGTTCCTGCTTTCCTAGCTCTTGGGTGGTCACTATGAAAAATGTGATTTACATTCTTTTTTTTCCTTTCAGATGCTTCTCCCATTCTGTCCTTCTGGAGACATAAAGCATGTAGTAATTTGCAAACCTTAGTGCAAAAAATATATATATATATAATTATATATATAAATGGCAAGGGGAAAATATCAAATATCTTGAAATATTTCCAAGTATCATTTGTTTTCTTAATATAGTTACTGTATGATTTCTCTAATTTTGTAATCATTGTTTCCTTATTAATTAGTCTTTTTTTTCTGTGTTATAATGTGGATGTGGTGAAATATATGGCAAAAAAAGCGAGGGGAACAAGTATCTTTGAATAATTTTGTGAATTGTAGTGCAGTGTGATTAAAACCAATACAAGCAATTTCACTCCTTTAACAGAAACAAGGCAACTGATAATAGATAGAAACTATCTAACAGAAAAAAAAGTGAAAGGAAAGGTATACATATCTTAATTTATACAAGAAGGAAAAAAACATAGTAATATTTATGTGCTGCATTGAAGTGTCACCTATGATAACGGGGCCAAATACATATATGAGCCAAGAAAAGATTCAGTGAATCAATTTCAAAATAAAAAATAGAACAAAATCACCAATTGTAAATGTGAGTGAATCTCTGCCGTGATAAATGGTTGTGTGAGTCTTTACCGCACAATTCTTGCACCATTGGCTCTCTTCTTTTCCCGGTTTACTATACATTTCTATGAGATCATGGAAAGTCTGCAAGACCCAGATATTGGAGGTTGTGATTTAAAAAAAAAAAAAAGGAGCTTGGACATGGCTCTGTAGATTGTAAGTTTGGTATAAGCATTTTTCTAATTTTTACCTTTTTTCATGTTAATATTGTTCTCTACGATGTGTTGTTTTTTTAAGACACATGTATATATAAGAGAAAACTGTTGTGTGCAAAAACGTTATTAGTGCTAATTTGGTGTATTTTACGTCATTATACACATTTTGAATTGTCATTGCTGCACAAGGTTAATTGGCATTTTGTTTAAGCTCCAATTGCAACACTTTAGCATGTTTTTAATTCTACAAAGTGGACAAAGCATTATGTGAATGAACAGCACTCTAAACACCCATAATGAACTTGTAAGAAGTAGTCTTGCTCATTTAAAATCATTGGTCTTTGGATATTTTTTATATATTACTATGCATACCATGCAAAAAAATATGAGAAAGGAGAGATATCACTCTTAAATGAAAATCTGAATCAGAGGCTTCAAGTAAACAGTGAGACTCAACAATTCAAATTGTCTCAAAACAACCAGCCATTAACATCACTTTTTAAACCAGATATATTTTGAGACTTCATCTGTGATTTTATAAATGTGGCAACTATTTGTAGAACGTAAACAGTGTTAAACCACAGAAGATCCAATGAGAGCCAGAGCAGCCACTTTGAAGAGGAGAAAAAAAAATTCTACCAAAATTCTAAACTATAACATTTTGTGCATTCTCAGTAAATTGGTAAGAAAGTGATAGTATACTGGAGGCAAACCATCAGAAATAGTTCAGCAGTCCAACGTTTGACTGGGTAATAATAAATGACTTGGAATCACCACATAATGACAAATCATTCTAGATCAGGTATGATCTTGAAAAACTCCACATG